TCTCACATCTCAAAACACCGCCGTCACTCCTAAACTTCCCCCTTCCTAAAGAACTAAATGCCATGTTGCCATATCATTGTTTGATTACAGGTGGTACATTTTTCCACCAATAGGAAAGGCTGTGGGAATTGGGAGGGAGGCTGTTTTTGCTCACAGGCGGAGAGTGCTTTCCAGCGTTTTCCTTATAAAACAGTGTTTTACCGTTTCTTCCGAAGTAAAAATAAACAACAATAGGAAAAAAACAAACATTGCAGATATTTTTATCATAACTCTGCTTTTACGTGGCCTATCGGCACAGCCTGTCAACCACGTTGATTAGCTGCGTATATACGAATGTGAATAGCGTGATTGGCTGGACTATGGGATAAAGTGGCATCATTCTAATCCCATATGGGAGCAGCCAGTCACTGACTAACACTGCAAAACAGAATTGTTAAAATTTAAATTTAAATTCAAATTAGAATTTTTTTTGTGCACAACACAGATTTCCTGTGTGCAGAGACCGTGCCAGCAGTGCGCAATTGCGCATGCACGCAGCTTAGAGGGAGCATTGCTCACCCTCAACCTTTTCCTGTTTCTTCCTCCTTTACGAATCTAACTGCACCTAAACTTCCAAAAAGGACGTCACAGTGTTTGAATTAAAGAAATAACTTTTAAAAATGCATGAATCAAGAGTGACACCATCTAAGAGAGTTGAGCCAAAAGAGCTGAATCTGAGAAACGAGCTGGACCTCCTTCACTAGCTGCTGGAGACCACCTGAGATCAGCTTTCACTCAGGTCAAACAATGTAGTGCTCAACAAATCTACCAGTTAAAAAATAAATATAGTTCTAAAAAACCCAACCATGTAAATAAAATACACTTTACATAAAAAAAAACATTTACATAATCAGCTGATGTTAGATAAACGTGTGGTTTCAATAAATATTCTGCAGAAATTAAAACAACAACATAAAGATCAAGAACACTAGGGTGAACTAAAACTCCATAACTGTGTGATTCTGATGGCTTTCAGTGTGAAACTGCTTCAGACACATGTGCTCTAACTCCACCCTCACAAACACCCGCCCACAGTCACAGGCCGACCCTCTGCCTACATGTTCCTGTTTCTTTCAAATTCCAACACGAGTAATAAAAGGAAACTTTTCACACATGATCTGTTTTACACGACCTGCATAAAACAACAGCGTTAAAACACTGGAGTGAAGTGACATGAACATGTTGTAGTCCGCCTTCTGCAGATTGTAGTTTCTCTTAAGAGATCCAATGTGAGTGTGTCATGGAGTCTGAGTGTAGGTTCAGTCGGACCCTCAGTGCACTGCTCTTCTCTTGTTTTAAATCCTTATTAATCCTCCTTCATACCTTTCCTTTCCTTCACCTTGTATCGTTTTCCCCCAAGATCAAGGAAAAGTGGTTAGGATAGGTCATTTTTTGGATTCTTCAGATGTAAAGCAGGCTTATTTTGGAAACCTCTTTATCTCTCCTCATAGTTAAAGTTGGTTAGTGTTCATCATGTTCCTAATAATGTCTTAACATCTGTAACAGGCATGAATAATCCTTAGAGATAGGAGTGTCCTCAGAGGAAGCTCATGGTGGGAATTATTGTTCAAACAGAGCTCCAACAAAGATGTTGCCGAAAGGACTCAAAAAGTCAGAGTCAGAATCTAAATCTAAATAAAATTATTGAGGAGCTTCAGGTACTATGAAAGCAAAAACACCAGTTCGTCCATAGAGTAGGCTCATACTGGGACAGCAGGGACATTGGTTAGACAGTCTGAATAAATGACCTGTTACTAATGTCGATTCCCACAGGCTCAGAGAGGAAGTCTTATTCTGAAAGTCTTGACAGTGTTCAGTAGTTTGTAGTTTGGAGACAGAACAGGACTAGAGCTGGTTCAGTTTCTCACAGTCTGATGATGTTTCAGCATCAAACCTCTCCTGGCTTTACGGAGATGTCACCAGATCACCTCTGCAGTTCTCCATCTGTCCACCAGGTGTCCTCAGTGTATCAGCAGTCCCAGATCACCGTAGTCACCTTACTCCGTGTTTTTTTCCCCATAAGACCTTTGTTTTCCACACCTGTGATCTTCATCAGGCTCTGATCAAAATGAGTTTTATATGAAAATGATTATTAATCCCAGTTGTGTTTGTGTTTCTGTGAGTGTGTGTCTGCTGCTTGTGTGTGGCTGGTCACGATGACATCATATGGGCCCTGCTTTGTGATTGGCTGCTGTGCGTGTTTGAGCTCACAGACATTCAGAGAGTCACAGAGCTGCTGCTGCTTCTGATGAAGATGAAGGTGTGGGTGCTGCTCCTCATCCTTTCCTTGGTCCCCTGTGTTTCTGCTGATGGTGAGTCTCTAATTTACTCATGAACTCTTGTATTTGAAACCTTTCATGCACGAGATATTAAGAAATTATGGCGAGAATGTCAAAGTGAAACCAAAGAACCTCTTAAGCACAAAACAGATCAGACATCAGTAAGTAACTACACGTGTGATTTCGTTACTAACAGCATGAAAACATGAAAAGGAGCTGAGTGGGAGGTGGGTTGCAAAGCGCTTGCTGTGCTTCTCTTATGTTACCCAAGTTGCCAGATAGTGTGTGTGTGTATGTGTGTGCGTGTATACACTCCAAAATCTTCATACAGATGTGTCATCAGTCTGATTCAAGTGTGCGTTTGTTTCACGCACACAAGTGAAGTGAAACTTGTTTCACTGTGCAGACTACAGATGGAGATCTGAAACATTCTAGAATAATTCTATAAAAAAATGTGTGACAGGAATTTATAAATTTGGTGAAATTAATAATATGTTCACTAATTTGAGCATTGCAGATTGATAACTCAAGGTACAATCTTAAAGTCAAACAGCATCCCTTTTAGCAACATTTCCATGAAAATATCATTCTGAGCATTGTGCTGGGAGTGTGATTGCTGCAAAGGGACTGTCTAAGTGCAACATACACAAATCATTATAGTCAAATTACAGTTTTAATTAATTTAATTTCACTTAAATGACACAAAGGCTCTGCTGGCACCCAATCAGCCCTCTTATTCTCCTCAGATGCTCATGGGAGCAACTCCATCACCGGCTGTTCAGATACTGATGGAGAGAACGTTCTGATCCTGGATGATGAGGCGGTCTGGTACGCCGACTTCAACAAACAGACAGGAGTCAATGCTCTGCCTGCCTTTGTAGATCCAATAAGCATTTCACCAGGTTTCTATGAAGATGCTGTGGCTGGTCAACAGATCTGCAGACAAAACCTGAAGACGATTCGTCAGGCTATGAAGGACTTTCCCAAAGAACTCGGTAAACACAAATCCTTAACCACACAGTCCGTATGTAAAGGGCAGAAAAACATTCAGAGAGCGGAGGTAAATAAAACGTGTTGTTGTGTTAAAGAGGGTTTTTCAGAGGCTGACAGGTTAGATCATTGGAGATCCTTTCAGTTATGTACCTTCAACATCCATTGATTTTTTTGAATTTTTAGATAAAATCGCATTGTGTTTCAGGGTTGAAATGTCCCTTACTTCCCCCAGATTCTACGGGCTGATTCCAATACCTCAGCCAATATTACCAAATCACTTTATCAGTCAATGTTTTAAACTAACAGTTGTGATTGGCTTCTTCATGTTCAACTCAATCATCGTACTGACACTCAGATAAACAGATATTTGTTTTCTCAGCTGTTGACAACATACAGAGCTCTTTAACTGGAGAGAAAGCACCAATATTCGCCATATTTACAGATTTCAAATAAAATTACACAAAGATGATCTGAGCAGAAACATTTTCATCACGTCTTTGGTGAGCTAACAAACACTGTGACCTTTATTGTCACAGAGTTCCAGGTTTGTATTCATATCCATGAAGACCTGATGACACAAACACAGAGAACATCTGAACTCTTAGAGGTGAAACACACATACAGAACTTCAGCTCCATGTTACGAGCTGCTGAATCAACGACACAACAATAGAGACTAAAAACCTCAGACACACAGGAGTGAAACGGGGAACACGGAGACCAAACTTCCTCTTTATCACATGACTCTGGGGATTTTCAAACATTCAGTTCTCTGTTTGTTCAAGTGAAAACACATCTCACTTCAGCAGACGCTCAGGTCCTCCCAGTGTTTCTGTGCTTTCTCTTCGTGTTTTTAGTTTTTAGCTCATAACAGCAATCACACACTGCTCAAAGTGTTTCACCCTGTGAGTTAAATTCATTTTAGAGAAGAAAACAACAACAACAGAGTCGGTGCAGGTCCTGTACATACTGACTCTTTGCTGCAATGCTGTTGCATATTCAGTGCAGTGGTGTTGTGAGTAACCTGTACATGTTTGTGCACAGATCCTCCGTCGAGCATGCTCATCTACACAGTACTAAATTTGGAGCTCGGAGTCCAAAACACTCTGATCTGTCACGTGACTGGTTTCTATCCTGCTCCTGTCAACATCACCTGGACCAAAAATGAGCAGAAGGTGACAGAAGGAGCGAACACCAGCGTTCCCTTCCCCAACAAAGATGGTTCCTTCAAACAGACGTCCAGACTGGACTTCATCCCAAAGCAGGGAGACGTCTACAGCTGCACCGTGGAACATGTGGCCCTGATGCAACCAATGACCAAATTCTATGGTGAGAAAATTCTACTCAAAATTCAATTCACATTGTACAATTTCACAACAACAGTAATCTCAAGTTGCTTTATATTCTAAGTTAAAGAGTCAACAATATCAGAGAGAGAAGTTTTATCAAAAAGCAAAGTTTTAAGCCTAATCTTAATCTACCAGTAATACTATTTGATAGAATCTACCTTTAAATACTCTAGGAACAACAAGTAGGCCTGCAGAGCGAGAGCGAAGTGCTCTAATAGGGTGATATGGTACTACAAGGTCATTAAGATAAGATGGGGCCTGATTATTTAAGACCTTGTATGTGAGGAGCAGGATTTTGAATTCTGGATTTAACTGAAGCCAAAACAGGAGAAATCTGCTCTCTTTCTAGTCCCTGTCAGGACTCTTGCTGCAGCATTTTGGATCAGCTGAAGGCTTTTCAGCGAGTTTTTACAGCATTAATATTTAAGTAAAACTGAGTGTCATCTGTATAGTAATGAAAATGATGCAGTGTTTTCTAATAATATTGCCTGAAATAAAAAGTATAGTTCCCAGCACTGAACCCTGTGGGACTCTATGACTGTTTCCAGATGTGAAGGTTCACATCACTCTCTGTGTTTCTGTCTGCAGCTGTGGAGAACTCTGATCTCATTCTTGGACCTGCCATGTTTTGTGGAGTGGGTCTGACTGTCGGTGTCCTCGGGGTGGCAGCAGGAATCTTCTTACTCATCAGAGGAACCGAGTGACACTGAATGGCTGGGGCTGATGTCTTAATAAATCTGAGGAGTTTGTAATCTGATTACACGGAACCTGCTGTTTTACCTCCGGTGCCAGCAGAAAGCATCCTCAGATAAACTGCTGTTCTTTATAGAATTTTTTTGCATCCCAATATTTTATATGCTTTATTACATGTCAAACATCTGGAAGAAACCCTGTCCTTAAAAACAGCAGCAGCAGGTCAGCATGATTGCAGACCTTCCAGTCCTCACTTAGACTGATTATTAACAGAGTTTTTGATGACAGAGAACAGTGATGTGAACCAGAAGGTTTTTTGTTTCATTAAAGATTTATTGACAAAGATTTGAGTTCATTTATTTTCATCTCAGTTCCTTTCATTTTGTTATCATGTTTTTATTTATTGTTGTAATTATTGATGATAAAATATAATTGTGCAGGCTTTGCCACAAGATGTTCTCATCTTCTACAACAACCAGTCAGTGTTGTGTCACTGGGTGCAGAAGAAGAAGGCACAAGGCTGCTGAGCCAGTTTGGTCTGTCTTCAAACCACACTTTATTTAGTCACTTAAATGCCATATCACAGTTAATTATTGGTTTATAAACCCATCAATGTTATGTGAAAACCCAAAAACAGCTTCTGAGTGTTACATTTAAATACAAAAGAAAACATTCAAGCTGAATGAAGATACATTTGAGCTCTGCTGCAGCTGGTGGATGTTTGAGTGCAAAGTACATTTCACAGGTAAGTTACTGGTTGGGGATTCTGGGGGAAGGTGATCAGTTCACCTTCTTTTTTTAAGATATTCCTTAAAGGTGTGATATGTAGAGAGCTCCTTTATTGTCATTGGTGGAGTATTCCAGTGTTATTGGGGCGTAACAACCCAAGCTTGATGTGGGATTGTGTAATGATGGAGGGATAAGTCTAAAAATAGCTAAAAACCTGCATTTTGAGCTCCAGTAGATTTTTCTTTTTTATCAGCTGACCGGCAGATTCAACTGAATACAGCAAAACATAAGATGATGCTGTATGAGTTATCTGACTGATTTTCAGTTCAGTACAGTTTCATTTCAAACATATACATTCACCAACATTCCATAATATCATTCCATTCAGTTGTGTGAAAAGGAGTAGGCAGAAGTATATACTTATCTAGCCCCACTGCCCTAAGTTTACATCTTAATCATTTCCTCATCATTCTATTGAAGTTCGAACAACAAAAACTTATACAATGCCTTCAACTTAGAACACAACATCACAAAAAATATTTTCTCATATTCAACTAAAACTATATTTAGATTTTCTAATTTGCAAAAGAAAATAAACATCACTTTGACTGCTGTGTTGGGTTAATTGTGTTTTCTTCATTCTTATACTAATTTAAAATTTCTTTTTTGAGTTTTTTTAAAACTGGTTTTAAAACTCTTTGTATTTCTAAATCCCACTTCCCTCTAAAATTATACCTCCCTTCTCTCTCTAAGAACCATTTACTTATTTCCATTGGGAGCATCCCTTTCCTTGCCTTATATATTATTTGCACTGTTTTAAACTTCACCAGATCCTGGAATTTTATAGCTTGCATCTTAATAAAGAGTGTGTTTGTGTGAGCCCTATACCCCTCCTGATTTATTAATCTAATAGGCCTTTTCTGCATTATGATTATAGTCTGAATATTACTTTCAGCTGTATTTCCCCAAATCTCTACACAATAACTCATGCGTGATAGTAAAGCACAATATAACATATACAATGTTTTCCTATCCAGAAATTGTTTTGCTTTCTTCAAGACAGCAATGCCCCGAGCTAACTTTCCTTAAGTGATGTGCGATTTCCAACAGGCCTATGATCAATGATCACACCAAGAAATTTAATGGTATTATCCCTTTGTAGATATCAGAATCAGAAAGACTTTATTTATCCCCAAAGGAGAATTAAGACTAATTTCAATGTTAATGTTTTTCTCATAGTTTCCAAATAGCATTAATCTGTTTTATTTAAATTTAGAGGCAATTTGCTTCTATCAAACCACTTCTTTAATATTTAACTCCTGTGCGATCATGTCCAAAACCTGTTGCAATTCAACCATTAGACTCTATAAAGCTAGTGTAAAGGGTCAAATTCAGTCAGTGAATTTACTCAGCATCATTACATCAAATATAAATGTCTGCTTCCCTTATATCTTCCCACTGACCATGAATGCCACAGCTGCTCTGTACCTGATCACTGTAAACTTCACCAAATCACAGCCAATAAACCAACAAATTGATAAAATCTCTCAGTAATGACAATAATATGAAAAACTTTAGCCTATTTGTGAGTTTCTGGTTTATAATTGACAACATCCATCAGGCTTCAGGTATCCAAATAGCAACACGGGGTAGCTGGAGCCTATTAAAAGGCAGGGCACATCCTGGACTGTCAAAAAAATATAACAAAATATTGTTATAGATTTCTTCCTGGTAACAGCTGATGCTGTGGTCATGTGACCCTGCACTCTGGTTTTTACAGCAGCTTTCAGTCAGACTGTGTCAGAGTTTGCCAGCACAACCCAGGAACATGGCTTCAAAGTTTTTATGCTTCACCCTCCTCTTCATCAACATCTGCACAGTAGGTAAGCTCAATACACTAATTAAACACTCACTACTTCAGCTATCATTAAGCTTTACAGCGTTACAGCTGAATTAATGAATTCATCCATCAGTCTACTTGTTAAACTGCTGAATAAAACAAATGATTTCAGAAAGATCATTTTGCTGCTTTATTTTACTTTGCTCGTATTTAATCAATTATAAAAGTAACCTTCCGGGTCCATCAGCCATGCCACAGGGATTTGTGTCTCCTCCTGGTCTCACAC